TTCCCCCCCCCCCCCACACACACATACACACACTGCTGATTTGAGGATTCCAGTCACCTGTGACCATGTTCCCATCCTGAGGAAAGGATAGTCAATATGTGCTTCAACTCATAAACACTCATACATACATACAAGTCATAAGTAACACACAAAGTAAGACATACACGACACACAAGGATGCACCACTCACCCACAAACACACTCACAATGCACATCAACACACCTGACTCAAGACACACTTGGTAAACACTCAACTCACCACAGATACATAACTCAAACACTATACACACACGTCACCGAAAACACACAAGATCACGCACAACTCAGAAATCTCACAAACACACACCAACAACACACATCACACCCAGCCACACATTCAGTACAACAAGCAGCACACACCCTCCTGTTCCTGAGAGGCAGTCTTCCCTTCCTTCTGTCCATCCCCTTCCTGGGGAAGGCAGTCAGCATGGGGCAGTTAAGCCTATTCAGTCACAGGCACAGTCATTAAACCAGCACCAACACCCCAGGCACATGGTGACATATACATGGTAACATACACATAGAGAAAACCAAACTACACACCTTTCTGCTCTCACACACAAGTGTGTCACCCACAGACAGCTCACACATGCACCAGCACAGGCTGCTGAGCAGAGGTCTTAGCCCTCTGTGACCTGACCTTGGTTTCCTGTGAGGTCGGGCATCTTCTTGTTCTGCAGCAGAGACAGCAATGTCACTGCCAGTGCTCAGCTGTGATGCCAGTGTACACGATCACAGACATGAATCAGGAGTCCCTAACCACACGCCAGGAGGCTGATAAGTTGGTCTACGTATGTTAAAACAGGGCTGTGAGTCTGATATGTAGTACATACACACACACACACACACACAGCATGCAGCTATCAAGCAGCACGTGCACAAGCATACAGTACATGCACACACACACACCACAGTCATGGACATAGAGTCTCATACATGAACCCACCAGCATACAGGTACATCCATTGCCAAGTGCAGATTTCCATTTCCTCTCACTTGTGTTGGTTGTTGATGAGTTCAGACACCTTCTGCTGTAGACTGTTGCCCATCTCTTCAGGTTTTCTTCAGGAGGCCTAATATCCATACACATAGAAGAAATATTTGTGGTCTTGGCACTTCTATAGACTTTCATTTTCCTTAACCACCTCCAGAGAAATGAGGCCAAAGGTAACAATTACTGGTGAGAGACTGAAACAAAGTCCCTAAGCTTCTGGCTAATTTCTGACTGCCCTTTCGGGACCTGTGTGTCCAAAAGTTGGAGGGACTAGAGTCCTAGGGGACAGTGCCCTTGATTCCAGTAATGCCCTGGACTCCTTTATCCTGGGTATTGTTCCAGCTGGGACAAAAGATTTTTTATGTTTTTATTTTGTAATTATTTTAAAGATACAGAAAAGTTGTAAATATCATATATAGTGTGGGGCAAAAGTAGATTTATAGTTGTGAATATGGGAAACAGTTGATTTTTGTATTATTATTTATTATGTATTCTTTTTCATACAAGTAACTCTAAACCTACCTTTGCCATACCCTTTAGTTGGCTAAGGTAGGATCTTCCAGGTTTTGTACTGTAAAGTTTCTATTTTAACCTTGTAATTCTAATTTCAGTAGATCTGTTGATACTATATAAACACAACTTTTTCCTCATTAAAATTTTGCCCACTATACTAAACATCCTTTGGTGATTATTTTTTTTGTTGAGTTTATTGGGGTGACACTATACAGGTTTCAGGTGCACAATTCTGCAGCACATTATCTGTACACTATATTGTGTGTTAACCACACCACTATATTGTGTGTTCACCACCCCAAGTCAATTCTCCATCCATCACATTTATCTCTCCAAAAACTTTTTCTGTCTCCCTCCATTGCTTTCTCTCCCCCCTTAATCATTGCACTGTTGTCCATGGCTACAAGTTTTTCTCTTCTTTTTTTCTGTATCCCTCCACCTCCTAACATAGCACTCACCTTCTGACAGCTGTCTCCCTGTCTCTATCTATGAGTCTGTCTCTATTTCACTTGTTAGTTCATTTTGTTCTTTAGATTCTATATGTGAGTGAAATCATATGACACTTGTCTTTCTCTGACCGGCTTATTTCACTTAGCATAGTGCTCTCTGGGTCCATCCATGATGTGTGAAAGGGTAAAATCTTTTTACGGCTAAGTAATATTCCATTATGTAAATGTACCACTGTGTCTTGATCCACTCATCTACTGATGGACACTTGGGCTGCTTCCAAATCGTGGCTATTGTAAATAACGCTGCAATGAACATAGGGGTGCACATACTCTTTCGAATTAGTATTTCAGGGTTTTTTGGATGAATTCCCAGAAGTGGAATCACTGGATCATAAGGCAGTTCCATTTTTAATTTTTTGCGGTATTGCCATACTGCTTTTGATAGTGGCTGCACCAGTCTGCATTCCCACCAACAGTGCCCTAGGCACAAGAGGGCTGGCACAAGAGGGTAAGAAGTGTGGAGGCACAAGAGGGCTGGGCAGCAGCTAAAGCTCCTGATATCTCAGCTGTGGGAGGTTTTCCCCTAAGAAGTATGGGGTCTAAACCCCAAGCCAGGCTCTCAAGCCTAGAGCAACAGAACCAGGAATCTAGCTGTGAGAAGCAGTGGGGGTCCTGTCCTCCATGGAGAGATGGCATAGTGATGTAGGCACCCTCTTAAAAGGCCAATGCACAAAATTTCTTTCACAGCCACTCACCCTGGGCTCTGGCAGAGGGAGGGCAGAGCAATTAGAGCCATGTGAGGAGAGTCTGGGGTTGGTGGCTCTGGGGAGAGAACTGAAGGGTCAACTGTCAGGATTCCTGTGCTGAGTCATTCCTGTATACTGCAGAAGCCATCTTTCTCAGGCAGAGCATTCCCTTCCAAGCAGCATCAACCTTGGGGGAAGTAATAGCCCCACCCACTGGAATGCCTCCATCCCCACCCTGTGGAGGTTACATCCTGTAGAGGTTATGCCCTGCTGAAGAGTGCAGCCCAGGCTCTTTCAGTGACTAAGCCTAATAGGCAGCCTGCAGGTGGAAGCAGATCTCTGGCTGCTTTGAGACTTTTACTGACCTGCCCCAAACCGGTGCTGGTAAAAGCTGGCCTTGGTGCACAACTTGGTGCTATCCATATGCACCCAGGCTGAGCAGAAGGAGACAAAAGCTGTGGACCTCTGATAGCTCCAAATAGGTTGCCCAGGGCAGTATCTGACACAGGCCTGCGCTGGAGCCCCTCTGAAGAGGCCCAGAACCAATACACCCTGTGGCCAGCTTCAGACAACAACACAGCAGGACCCAATAAGCTTCACAAGCAGCATATCCACAGGGAGATCTCAGCAGACACCAAATCATGCAGTGGCGAATTCCTCTGTGTGATCAGCCTGCACAGCAGCTTGAGTGCTGTGTTGGTAGTTGAGCCTCACAGTCAGCCAGCCTCAGTGTTGATCTCATGCACAAATGGGCCAATAGCAATCAGAACTCAGTTATAGCCTGGCTCAGTGGTTGAGCATCCACCTAGGATCCAGGAGATCGGGGTTCTATTCCCAGTCTGGGCACATGCCCTGGTTGCAGGCTAGGCAGCCAATCAATGACTCTCTCGTCATTGATGTTTCTATCTCTCTCTCTCCCCTTCCTTTTCTCTCTCTGAAATCAATAAAGATATGTTTAAAAAAAAAAAAAAAAAGACTCAGTTACAACAGGAGGGACCACATAATATACACAATGGACATACCTAGAGCACCCAGCTCAGGTGACCAGGGAGATTGTGCCACTGGGTCCCACAGGAAACCTACTACATAAGGCCACCCTACCAAGACTGGGAGGCATATCGGATCTACCTAATACATAGAAACAAGCACAAAAGGGACCAAAATGGGGAGACAAAGAAACAGGTCCCAAATGAAAGAAGAGATTTCTCCAGAAGGGCTAAATGAAATGGAGGCAAGCAATTTATCAGATATAGAGTTCAAGGTAATGATTATAAGGATGCTCAACAGTATAAAAAAAGACATAGACAACATTAAAAAGGACCAGTCAGAAATGAAGAATGTAATATCTAAAATAAAGAATACAGGAAGGAATGAACAGTAGGTTGGATGAAGCAAGAGGATTGAATAAGCAATTTGGAAGACAAGGTGGAAGAAAACACCCAATCAGAGCATCAAAAAGAAAAAAGAATTTTAAAGTAAGAGTGGTGAAGGTGAACATCCTTGTCTTATTCCTGATCTTAAAGGGAATGCTGGTAGTTTTTGTCCATTGAGTATGATGTTGGTTGTGGGTTTGTCGAATGTGGTGGAAGAAACTGTTTTCCTGAAATATGGATTCCTAGCAGTACCGAGTCTGGGATTAAACATATATTTGGTCAAGTTCATTGATAGACACCAAGTGTTCTAGCTTCCAGGTCAGTGCTCTTACTGCTTGCTATTCAATACCACCTGTCATGACCTCTATGAGTGCCATGTGAAAAATAAGAAGGAGGATAACCTATCATCTCTTAGGTCACTTCCCAGTTATGACATTCTGTTGTGTTGCTTGTTCTATGAGTGAATTTTGTCCCTTAATTTCCTCAAACCGATCTTCATATCTTTGTTCCTAAGGCTGTAGATAAAAGGGTTCAGCATGGGTGTCACTACTGTGTACATAACCGTGGCTACCCGGTCCTTCATCACTGAGTACATGGACAGGGGCCTAAAGTAGATATAGATGACACTCCCATAGAACAAGATTACTACTGTGAGGTGAGAGCCACAGGTAGAGAAGGCCTTCCACTTCCCAGCTGCAGAGGGGATTCTGAGTACGGTGATGATGATTCGCAGGTAGGAGAAGAGAATGCACAGGAAGGGGGTCACGATGACTGCCAGTGTCTCGGTCATGGCGACAATCTCGCTGGAGGAAGTGTCAGAGCAAGATAGCTTTAGCACAGGCTGGGTATCACAAAAAAAGTGCTTAATAACATGAGAGGCACAGAAAGACAGGCGGGACATGAGTAGTACACGGAGCAGGGAGTGCAGGTGAGAAATGGTGCAAGAACCCAGTAGCATGAGGAGGCAGCACCGTGGGTTCATAACCACATCATAGTGGAAGGGGTTGCAGATGGCTACCAGCCGGTCTGTGGCCATAGAGGCCAGCAGGTAGCTGTCGGTGTTCCCAAATGCCATGAAAAAGTACATCTGGACCAGGCAGCCCACGTAGGAGATAGACTTTGTCTCTGATAGTAAATTCACCAGCATCTTGGGGACAATGACTGTTGTGAAGCAGATATCCATAAAGGATAGGTTGCTGAGAAAAAAGTACATAGGTGTATGGAGCCGGTAGAGTAGATGATCAGGATGATGAGTACATTTCCCACTGCAGTGACAAGGTACATGGTGAAGAAGATGGCAAAGAGGGGAGTCTGCAGTTGAGGGTTGGAAGATAGGCCCAGAAGGATAAAGCCTGAGGAGCTGCTGCTGTAGTTCTTTATCTCCATGTCTCTCTTCTTCCTGGATAGGGTTGGAGAAGCAGTGGAAGAGATGTGAGTGACAATTAGATTGACAGCGTCTTCCCTAACCCTCAGCCCATAAAAAAAGCCCACTGTTACTGTTAGGATTTTAGAGATTATTTACTTCAACAAACTACAAAGAAACAGGGAGTAAAACCTCACAGGGGAAAAGTTTGAAAATTCCAAGTTGCTTCCTACATGAGAAACTAAAGATTTCTCGTGTGTTCTTAGGACCTTCTGTGTAGCCTAATTTGAGTTTTTCTCAATTCTCTTTTTAAAGATTCTTCTTAGGTTGTTTCCTGACCAACTTATTGTCCACTTTTTTTTTTCTTCCACAGGAAGAGGCTGCTGGGCCCCACCTTTAATCAGGCTGCTTTCAGAGAAGGGGTGAATGAGGTCCTCTCATTAGGAGTGAATAATGAGGTCCTCTCACTTGGATCCTCTTCTACTGATAGTCCCAGAGGTCATGGTAGTTGGGCTAAGACAAAAGTGAACATCAGATTTAATCAGTGATCCTTGGTATCCACAGAAGTCAGATGAGGATTTTTAAATCTTCAGAGAAAAATCTGCTTAATATATATTTAAATATTTCTGTTTGGCTAATATAATCTGGCCACTTAACTGATAAGTTTTTGGTTCAAAAATGCCATTCAAAATAAGAATGTTACCAGGAAAATAGCCCATGTTACTGAGATTAATTACTTAAGTATATTAATTTTTCTGATTAAAAACTATGAAGTCCTTATTCTAAACATTTAAAATTACCAGAATATAAAACTTTGAATGTAAAGGTCTGATTCCCACCAAATATCATGGAAAAGACAAGTCAGGATGGTCTCTGTATATCATGGAAAAGACAAGTCAAGATGGTCTCTGTTACCATTATTGAACTGCTGCATTGCTCAGATGATAGTCTAAGCCAATGAAAAGCAAAATTAAAGAAATAGGAGGCATAAACATTAGATAAAATTGTCATTTAATTATTTATTGCTTTTCTTTTATTGAATTTAGAGAGGAAGGGAGAGGGAGAGACAGATAGAAACATCAATGATGAGAGAATCATTAATTGGCTGTCTTCAACACAACCCCCACTGGGAATCGAGCCCACAACTCGGACATGTTCCCTGACCGGGAATCGAACCGTAATCTCCAGGTTCATGGGTCGATGCTCAACTGCTGAGCCACACCAGCCAGGCAAAATTGGCATTATTTTTAAGTGACTTATATATCTAGAAAAGTGTTAATACACATCTGAAGACTTTAAACATACGAAGATTTCACCAAAGTGGGCAGATACAACATAAATATACAAATATTAATACTTTTTTTATATTAGGAAAATGTATGGAGAAAAAGTTTCAATAAACAATGGCTAGAAAGTCTAAAAAAATACTTAGGAATAAACCTAAAAGGGAAAGTAAAAAAAAAATGTGAATGACCTATCTGAAGAAACTATAACAGAATACAAAGGTATGATCTGAATAAATGGAAATATTCTATTCCTAAAAAGGATTCAGTATTACAGAATGTCAAATTTTTTTAAAAATTTTATTTTTGTTTGAAATATTACAGATGTCCCTTTTTCTCCCAATGACCTGTTCCACCCCGTCCCATCCCTCTCCCCAGTCCCTCTCNAGTGGAATCACTGGGTCAAAAGGCAGCTCCATTTCTGATTTTTTGAGGAACCTCCATACTGTTTTCCATAGTGGTTGCACCAGTCTGCATTTCCCACCAGCAGTGTACTAGGGTTCCTCTTTCTCCACACCCTCGACAGCACATGTTGTTTGTTGATTTGTTGATGGTAGCCATTCTGACAGGTGTGAAGTGATATCTCATTGTGGTTTTAATTTGCATCTCTCTGATGATTAGCGACATTGAGCATTTTCTCATGTGTCTCTTGGCCTTCCTTATGTCCTCTTTGGAGAAGTGTCCATTTAAGTCCTTTGCCCATTTCTTAATTGAGTTGTTTGTCTTCCCCTTGCTGAGTAATATGAGTTCTTTGTACACTTTGGAAATTAGCCCCTTATCAGATACATCCTTGGCAAATATGTTTTCCCAGACCGTGGGGTTCCTTTGT